TATTGGGCCAGTAGAAACTTGGCAAAAGGGTCTAGCATGGGCCATGGAAAAAACTCATTACATTTTGTAGCCGATTGGAATCACGGAACTGATACAGAAATAATTGTTCACTTTCGTTACCTTAGAAAAATACGGCATTTGTGCCGTGTAAAAAGAATAGGAAAAATGAGGTTCACGACTTGAAAAATTCCCATGAAAACCACCTCAAGTTGGAACATCTCAGGAACAGCTATCAATGTGTTGAAAGCTTTTAGCTATTAAATACAAATCACATCATGTTTGTACTGTCCATGGTGTCTTTACATTTCAACTTCAAAATAACTTCAACTCTGAAAATGGGACCGTCAAAGAGCACCTGAATGCACATGCATCCCATTAATGTTTGGTCTGGACCCTCCTCTTGTCTTATGAAAAATGTAAAACTCTCCCCCATAATTTCTCAACTCAAACCTAATTTAAAGCATAATATGATAATGCAACAATCACATTTGCATACCAACAAGGAATTACCACTCACCAGAATGATGGTAAACGCAACAAAGGGTGTTTCTTGTCGACCAAGCATTTTAGAGCTGCTCAATTAATATTTTTCTATTCAGTCACAGTTTTTTTCTTCTTATAATAGTGACTGAATTAGAGAACGGGGTGAAGGTTGGAGCTATGTGGTTGCTAAGGGGCTTGAACTCTGTAATATTTTCAATTAACCCATTAGCAGAACAGGTTGTGTGCTGTGAAAGATCATATTATATTTTATTTGTTTGATAATATAATACTTTATTATTAATATAACTTTATTGTAAGGCAGGATACAGTGAAGGCTGCTGTTTATAGTTTTTTTTAAAAGGACTCAATCTTTAGAGTGATAATATTAAATCCCTAGTTAAAGGTTCACACCTACTGTTCTCAAACTCACAATTATTGTTACTGGCACCTTTAAAATAATGTGATTATTGACCCTGCATTTATGGCAAAATGCAACTTTGTGTTCCACTGAGCCCCCCCACATTAAATCCTACAAGAAAATAACAAATATTAATCTGATGAATAGAAAAAATAGACCCTTCCTTGCTCTCCTTAACGTTTCAGACCCCCCCCCCCCCCCCCCAACCCCCCCCCCCCTTTTACGATTTTTTAATGTGAGGATTTTAAGTAGTTCATTCAGTATTGCAAATATTCTGTAAGGACTTGAAATGATGTCCTTGGTGGTTGTAGACAATAAAACGTAATTAAACCGACAAGGATACTGCTCTCTGAAGAACCCTTTCACCTTTTGCTGCACAGAAAGCTCATACTTCTAACCGACGTGGTCGTAACCAATCAGATTTTAACTTTAGACTCACACTCTAAAAGTAGGAAGAGGACCAATCAGCAAATGTGTTTTAGGTCGCAGGCAAAGCATTATGAGCAAGTATTCTCTTAAGAACTCAAGATTCACTAATTAACTTTCTACATAATCTTACACTGATAAGAAATATGTTGGCCTTGATCTACTATTAAACTAATTTGAAATAAAGGTAGAAGGTAGCATATCTTCTGGCATCATGGGCCCAATTACAGAAACAAACCATGTTAAATCTTAAATTAGGATTATTTGGGGGGTTTTACAGAAGAAAATACTAATTTAAAGTGGACCTATCATGCTATATTTAAATGATATATTGTAGGGCCATACCTATATAAGGTATATTTATACGTTTCTGTTTTCAAAATACCAAACAGATCATGCATTTTAGCCATGCCTCATTTCGCTCTATGTGCTGTTTGCTGTCTACGGGTCTGATTCTGCTGACCACGCCCCCCTGCAGGAGAGGTGAGCCGTGCTCTGATCAGCTGCTGAGCTGTCAGAAGAGGGGGAGAAAAAGAGATCTCCGTCCTCCGTGTTTTATTATATAGAGTCGTTATTCATTTGTTTTAAAGCTCAATAAATAACAAAGAAGACCTTTGACCGGCACTTTTCAAATTTTGTCCGGAAGATTTCAACTTTAACGGACATCTTGACCGGCGAAAGTAACTGAAACTGAAACTCTGCCGCACGGTCCCCTCGTTCCTTGGAAGAGGCGGAGAGGTGGGTGTTTGTCATCTGCTGGTGGACTAACCGGAGAGAATTACAGTGCTTGCCTCGACGGGGAGGGATTGCATTGAATTAAAGCAGCGGGAGCAAACGCTTGCCTCGGGGAGGGAGAAAAAAAGCCACAGCGGAGAATAAACAGAAGGGTAACCATGGTAACTATGGGCGGGAAGTCTTCTTCGCTGCTTTTGTGGCAGACTACAGCGCCACTTACAGGCCTGGCATATGTACTACAGCGTCTCCAGCGCTTTCGAGCGGCAATGGCCGGCCGTGGCCCAACCCCACATTCCCCTGATAGGTGGAGAGTTGGCCCAATAGCCGTAGCGCCACTTCTGTGACGTCATAGAAGTGTTCAAATCTGGATCAGTCTGTATCAGATCCATTGCAGCCCCTTTTTTAGAGATTTGGGTATGGAGGAAAATAGAGAGGGTTGTGTTTTCTGACACGTGGTGAGTTCCCTGGAACACCGGGGACACATATTCATGTATAAAAGACGTACAAAAGTGCATTTTGCATGATAGGTCCCCTTTAAAGAATATTATCTGATTTTAATGTATCCTTACCTTAGTACAGGAAATCCTAAACACTGAATTCAACTTAGCACATTAACTTTTCTGTGCGATACCAGCAACAGTGGTACATTTTTCTAATCTCGTCGAGCTAAACTATTTTAAGTTGTTGTTTGCGTACTGAAACATACACTTCAAGACAGATAAGTCAAAGATGTTTGTAACAGAAAGACAAATCCAAAGATATACTTTTTGGGAAACTTTTGTGTTGTGTTTTGAGCTTCTCCCAGTGCTTTTGTATTTGCAGTATTATTCTTTTACAGCATTTCGTTTATGAAGCACTTTTAGTAAACGCTGCGCGTGTTTTGTCAAGTCAGTGAATGTTTTATAAATGCTGCACATGTGTTTTGTTATATCTGTGTGTTTATATTTGCATTGTTTTTGAGAGTGCAGTGCATTTATCCTAATGTGAGTGTTTTTGGCTGTTGTAGTGTGTTTTCTCCTGTTGGCCACTGTATATTCCCTATACAAAATTCTGAATGTCTTGTGGGATGAACCAATTCAGGTTAACTTCACAATTTGATAAATTCATATTAAGACAAATCCTATTTTATTGTTAGTATCACATTCCATTGTTATACATTTATTTTCTTCTTTAGCAAATAGTTTTTTTGTTTAGTTTTATATCAAACAATCATCCGTTATGTCACAGCTGAACTTTCACACTCAATTTACTGATATCATTTATAATACTTTGCAATAGATTTACAACCATCAAACAATAAAAGCTTGCAGGCATTACAATTATTTCCTGTGATGCAACAAGTATGAACTGTAAAAGTCTGTCTCACAGATCATGTCATGCTTAGTTCACCCTTCAGAGCCCGGTCATGGTCAGCACTAGTGTGCACTTTGAGGTAATGTACGTAAATTAAATGCCATCTCTTTTTCTTTTTTGTATGCTGCATTATGTCAGTCTAATGATCGTGGGGTTAAATGCCGTTCTAGGACATACCTCTTCCAAAGCTGGATCACAAAGCCAAAATACAAATGTATATTCTTCTACTTGTTTTGTAGACAAGTTGACGTTCATATATGGGTGACATCACCAGGAAAACTCAATTGTCATTTTTCCGTATTTTCTGATTCAATACCTTTGGGGTGAAATATTACATGTTAGAGAAAAATATATTTTTGTTCTCATGTCTCAGGGTGCCATCAAAGAATATTTCAAAGCTAAAATAACCTGTTGTGTAACTAGGAACAAATCTCAGACTTTAGACTGATTGACTCTGCTTTTTCATCACAGTGTCCCTGACAGTGATGTTAATGAGGATGATAATGAGAAACAGGACAATGATGATGAAGCAAAAGCAGTGATATCCCTGGCACGCAACATTTATTTTACATGTATTATTGTTACCCCCCTCCCTCTCCTCCTATCATAACAGAAATGGCTCCATGGTACATCAGTTGCTGTCTGCTTTTGTCCCACTGACACCCCAGTGGTGACAGCATTGGGTCTACTCCTTTAAATGAGCCTTTGCGCATAGCCTTCGAATCACCACAACTGCATCAGTGCTGGATGGGTTGCTTAGCAACTGGACAGCACAGAGATCCCTGAAGAAAACCTCCTCCTCTGTATAAAACACCAAGCTTGTGTGATTCTTGCATTGTGTGTTTCCAGTAAGCATGTTTATGTTACAAAAAACAAACAAAGAAACGGCTGGTTTGTTCTAAGGAATTAAATAAGTAAAACTAAAATATTGCGCGTATTCATGATGTGGCATGATTGAGGTGCGTGTCTCTCTCAGGGTGCATGGTTTCCAAAATTGTACAAAAGTGGAAGAAATGAATTAAAAGACTCAGTCCTAACACCCTTATGTGTTTTAGAGAGAATAGACAGCGCAGGAACAGCTTGTCGCTAAGGAATTCACCTTAGGTGTCCCCCTTTACTCCCCCGGTAGGACATCATTTTAATTTCAACAACAACAACAAAAATCGCAAGGAGTCAAGCTTTCCTCATCATGTCTCTCCGGACTGTTGAATGTCTGTCATGTGTGCGCTGTTTGGAGGAGAAGCGGAGCGGACCGCGTTAACGTGTTGAAACGCCATTTAACGTTGGGCAGCGCCAGCGGAGGCAAGTGGACTTTTTCAAAAAGCTTTTGCATCTTTGATATGAAATCTGACGCTGTGATACATGCATCGGCGTATAAGGGGCCATCCATATTTCTCGGCATCTAATTTTTTTTCCACCAGAGGAGTGATATAGCCTTCTCTGACGTCTGCATCAGATATTACCCAGTGCTTTTTCAATGTGCATTTTCCCCTCAGTGACTTTGCGCTGATGTACATCATCAGCAGCAGCAGCAACGGGGGAGAGAGAGAGAAAAAAAAAAGGGAATGAAGATTTCATTTTTCTTTTTTTTAAACCCACCGCTCCCCTTCAGACGACCAGCGTTTCCAGCTCAAACAAATATCTTTTAACAACATCACGTTGTGGAATAGTCTGGCGCCGGAGCATCGCTGGAACCATGCCTCTTCTGCAGATTTGGACTGGGAAATTTCATCCACCAATTTGATCATCGGGAGGCTGCTGCTCAGTCATTCATGCCAGTGTTTGTTTTTTTAAGAGGAAGAATACTTGTCATCACTTTTAAAAGTATTGTCTATGCTGTTTTTTAAGCAAGATGTCTGATCTTCTGGTGTTGGTCGAGGGGCTCTGTGACCTGCACGGATTTCCATAGCCGGGGAAAACAGCGGGGGCCAATTACGAGATTTTTTTTAAATCAAGAACCCTATTTTAATGAAGACATCGCATGCGTAGATGTAGGGTAGATTATTCGACATTTAAAAAAAAGGCAATTATATTTTAATTGCCAATTTTTACTTTGTGCATTTTCTGGAGGACCACTGGACTGGTTGGATTATAGAAACTATATATAAGGATTTGTGGAGATGTTGGGTCGTCAAGAAGATAAAATATGTGGAATTTTCTCTGCTCTGGCGGCTTTGTCCTTCTTCTGCTTTGTTCAAAGGTAAGAAAAACGTCGTTTGAGAAATAAATTATTAAAAAAAGCTTTCACACCAACAGATGTCATTACCGGTCAATAAAAGGCTGAGATGTGGCAAATCGCATTAACGGGGTACCCACTCAGGCCTACTTATTAGGGGCATTGCTGCCGATATATGCTCTATTAGATGGTGCTGTGGCCCGCGCGAGCGTAAAAACATGCGCGTGCACGGTTGCAAGCCTATTGTGAAAACGTAACCTACTCCCGATATCAAAATGGGGATATTGAAAGGGCGACTTTTGGTTTGATCCTGCTTAAAAGGACAGCCCTCTGTAGGCTGCTGTTGGCCGATGATTAGCCGATCAATCAGCCGGGGATCGATTGATTACTCCGGGGTAAGCAGCTGGAGGTAGTCTACAGTGCAGCAGCAACACTCTGGAATCTACGTATTGCATTTGTCTCCATAAGTAATATTCCACCTCCTATAATCTTTTTAATTCCCCATTTTATTGACCAGAACCAAATCAATCAAATTGAAAAATAATCCCAGCAGGTCATCATCTGCTGTTGCTTTCAAGACAGAGGAGGGTGTGAGATATAACATTTCAATAAATAAGCTCTCATCCATTTGAAATGTTTACAGTATGAATTACTGCATGAACACCATCACAGTCTCCAGATCAATCCTTTTATTGTTTTGATGCTACATGGCGCTGATACATATCCCTCGTGGCCTACTCCTTTTCCTTGGCTGCAGTAACCTACAGCCTCACTTATGAGATCTAGATGCTCACTGGGAACTGGGTCGCACTTTTCTGATCCCATTTTAATAACCCGGAATAACAAATGAAAGGGGCGTAATCTGGTATCAGGTGTCATTGATATTCCCCCTCCTAATGACGCTCTCAGGTGTCAAACCCACAAGTCCTGTAACCTGCCGGCTTGATGAACAGCTGCACTGCCCATGAGCTAATTGAACAGTGCTTCCCTGACTGAGCCTGACTTCCCCCCCCCCCTCATACACTGATTCCAATCCACACCCTCATCCGTAACAAGGAGCCTCAGCTGGAGAGCCGGTCTGGTCAGGTGATGCAGGTCGTGGCACCAATGTTATAAGTGTCAGTCAGACGAGTGCGGACTATACATTCCTCCTGAGGATAGTCTGTCTGCGGCCCAGGCTCAGACCAACCAAGCCTCTGTTATAACACAGAGCTTATTTAAATACATGCCCACGAATCAGACTTGGTTCTGTGGGAAAAAACATGACATTGTTCCGTTTCAACGTCTCTTTATGAAAGAGCGACATCAATGAAACACTTGACAGCTGTATCATCATCACAGCCCCTCAACTGATTAGATGCTGGGATACAATGGGGAGGAAAATGCAAACCAAAGGCACATTTTTATAACCTTCACCATGACAACACCACAGTCAGCATGCTTTTCATTTATTTGTCTGACAACTGACTGCAACATACAAACAGAGAACACCTCTCCCAGCTAAAAGGCTTCACAGTGTCAATGTTTATTCATGCTGTGGAATGGAAATGATTGGAGTTGACTAATGCAAAAGACACAATAGGACACATTTATTTCTATTATGTATATTTTGGGTGCTGTTCAATTAATCCCAAGTTGTATTCCTCTTTCACTGTGCCTCACCACAAGGCTTCTACTTTTAAGGTGGCGTCATTAATGTTGAGAACCGAGAGTATGTGCAGTAATATTTGAGAGTACAGTACGTTTGCTGTAAAAACAATATGTGTAAAACAAAAGGCTCAGTGTTTTTGCAGTTCTTTTCCCACCACACGTCTTAAAATGGCTCTAAAACTTTGTTATTTTCTGCCCCCAGCTCTTCCACGGGAAGCACCGGAATGTCTTTGGCCAAGACCACCGTGGACAAGTTGCTGAAGGGATATGACATCCGATTGAGGCCTGATTTTGGAGGTACGTGTTGCATCTGTTTCTGGGTTCCCGTTTGTTCGAGGGCGAGTGCAAGGCGAGGTGTGTGCACGGCGATATTCACGAGTCATTCCTCTGAAATCTCTCGACGAGCGGGCCTGTGGCAAAATATAAGGGAACAGCTTTGATGTGACTGCTACCATGTCATTACTATGCATCTATTCACATATCGAAGATGGCTGCTCCTCAAGAAGTAGGGCACACACGGAGAAGAGCAATCAATCACTACGTTTTTAAAACCCAGATATGGTAAATGTAACGTTTCTTCGTCACTTTTCTAATTGGAGGTGTTTTATTGAGTCTTTGTGTTATGTCGCGATGTTTCCGAGCATTTGATTTGCAGATTTTCAGAAAACACTCTTGCCCCATTAACTTTTATTAGAAATTGTGCAACTTGTACATCCGCTCTTTAGAATAATGGTTATTTTGATAATTGCTGAAAATAGAAGGCGTGGGGGACGAGTCATTAGTGTATGTCATTTGGGTTGATTGTTTTACTGAAACTATTTAACCACAATAAATGTTTAGCAATATAAAACTGGTTAGATTTCTCAACAGCATTCTGGTTTATTGCCGAGAGCTAATAATCAGGCTACTTCAATTTCAGAAATAAAGGTATAGGGAATATTTCTTGTTGCAAAGTATGTATGGCCTGAACCTAAAACGTATAGGAGGATACAAAGAAGATGTTTCCTGTTTCATTGCTCTGACAATAACATCTGGGGCCCAGTCTGAGCAAGGCCACTCACTGAAGATGTCATAACTCACCGCTGACTGACAGCCACAGTGATGGCTCTAATTGAATAAAGTATGATTGTACCTTTTCATTTCAGCACCAGCTTTATTATTCCTGCTGTACAGATTTGAAAAAAACCGTTGTGTTCAGAAAAGCTTATGGCTGCTTCCAAAAACAAAGAACAAAGGAAGCATTTTACTTCCAGGGCATGTTAACAGAGTGTGATGTTAATTTAATGAGAGCAAGTAACACAACAGTTTGTCTGTCGCCACTAAAATCTGCTCCAGTGTTTCATGGCCAAAAGAAAAAAGAAGGCGTAAAAGGAAATAGAAAAACATGCTGAAAACCACTATGCTTGTATTCCTGTGTTAAACCAGAATTACTTTAAATATTATTCAGAATTCAAAAATATATCTTTCAATGTACTAACAAATTAAGAATGGTAGGTAAAGATAATGTGGCACAACTCACCCACAAAATATCTGAATATGCAATGCAGTCAACTGATGTATAAAAAAGCCATTCTACAATAAACAAAATCACATGATGTTTACATGATACATGATGATGGTCAACGCCCGAAGAACTTCCCATATTTAATTCACTGTGGCAGGTTGACTTTTTCTGTAATGCTAAATAATTTATTTTATGTATTATAAGAATATTCCGAATAATTCCAAGTACATGTATATACATTTTGTAATCTGTTTGTTTATTAATATATTTAACAGATGCAATCACATGAATAACTGTTAAGCTGATACTTCTCACCAGTATCCTTTCTTAAGGAGCCAGTTAGCGCCTACCTCACACTTGATGAGAATGAGAGGGAGCAGTGAAACACATATAGCAGGTGTGCCTCCTCAGATAACCTTCCTCTGGTCGGGTGCTCTGCCAAAAACAGATGCTCTGATGAAGGCGTATGTGCCAAAATATGTTAGCCTGATGTTAGCCATTGTAAAAAAAGTAATAGTTGAGGTTACATCTTCCTTCTGTGTTTTCGACTGCTGCCAATCCAGAGTTGCTTCATATCTTCAGTGAAAGATATAAGAGCAAGCAGCAAATAGATCTTTCAGATGCTCAACAGCCGTTGTGAAATTTCCACATTTAATTATTTTCAATTGGCAGCCAATTTCTTATCCCTTCTAAGACATATTCACACTTTACTGTTCCTCACTAAAGGCATTTCCCGTAGCGCTTTCATGACAGTTGTCACGCAATTTTAACCAATATAAATGACTTGAGAGTTTTTGTCGTCCACACCAGCGACAGTGTTCGTCGTTCACCAGTTCTTCAATTCAAAGCAGAAAAAACGACTAAATGTAACCCACAACGGCTCAATTTTTGTGTCGCATTTTTGTTAAAAAAACAGCCGTCAGATCTGAAAAAAGCACCCTTTTATATAGAATCACACAATTTAAAACTTACTGCGATAAACATCTTGTCCACAATGATTCATGAACAATGCATTAATAATCAGCACAAGATTGGATAAAGATGCTTATTTACTGTATATTTCAACGCATTTACGTCTCCCAATAACACGACTGTGATTTGTCAGGATATATTTAAGGAAATGGAAGAGGAATTGTTCTAATTTAGTTTTCTAGATCAAGTTATTTTCTGATTTATACATCAGTATTGGCAGCTTTTTTAGACGATGATTCCCACACACTATCTTCCAGTATTTAAATATTTGTCGGCTACAGCCAACTATTGTCTAGCAGTGTGAATGCACTGGAGTGGGTGCAAGTTTTAAAGAGTATCCCAGGCTGAGAGTAGCTGTTCATTACCCTCAGGCTGGGAGCTATAGTCCATCATGTCTTGATATTTCCAACATCAGTCAGCTACTTCTGTCGTGACACAACTGCTGACGACTTTCAGCTCTCCAGATTCAACGAAGAGTGTTTTAATTTGGAACAATGCTGGACGCTGACTGTGGCTACTAACAGCCCTGCCAACACCCATATTTGAAATAAAAACTGATTCACTGGACATTGATTAAATATTTGAATGATCAGAAAGAGGCTGCCAAAAGTGATGCAATAGGATTTTACTCATGTGTTGTGGCCTTCGCACCAGTATATCAAAATGAAAAGCCCACTCTGCAGTCATTCTATTCAGACTCTGCCCTCTTCTCCCTATTGATCTGTGAGCCAAACAGGAATTCAAGAAATGGTACACAGACCCAAAGAGCTGCTAGCCCAGCATTCAGCGTCTTGCAAGAGAAGTGAAATGCATTTCTTCTAGTTATTATAATTATCTAATTTGCTGAAAATACCACTTTGTGATATTTCCCCAGAATAATGTATCAGTTGCGAATGGTGCTTGTATCTTTTCTCTTTCATCATCTGCTTTGTTTGGATTATAGCCCTTGGATGTAACTTACTAACAAATTGGCCATCGTCATAGAGCTGAATCATAGAAAACAACCCCCATGTAACCTTAGTGATGCATTGCGTAGATGTAGATTCAGCGAGATGACCAGAGCATTGCTGACCCGGCTAACAAAGTTAGAGAACAGCAGCAATGTTGATGTTTCATTTTTATTTTAATCACTTGAGAGAGATATGAGAGTATGCAATTCAAACATGTGCTGGTATAATGTATCTTTAATACACTACACTTTCTAAGAAACCAGTGTTTTTGGTACGCAAAATTAAACTAGAACATAAATGGGAGATAGATTCCTGTTTAGGGAGCCGATTCTAGACAATGCATGAGGATATGTTTGGATAATGCGGGTTGTTTGGGAATGTCAGTTAATTTGTGTAGGGAACAAAAGCTTATCAGGAGAATGGGGAGAGATTGGAACACTGGGACATTGCTAATGGGATTACAGATGAGGTTAAGAAGAGCGCTATTCTACTCGGCTTTTCTGGTGTGTGCGATATACCATATGAGGAAGTGTTCTCTGAACTACATGGTCTGAAGCCCTCGGTAGTTCAATATCAAAGTTCACAGCCATTCCAGTAGGTCCAGCGTAGAATATATTGTGGCAGATTTGCACCAGCTCTTTGACTTTTACGTTGTGTTTGATAACATGCTCTAAGACAGGCTACTGAAGGTTTCATGAGGATTGCATACAGTACAGTGCCTTCTCTTGGGAGAGTGTCCATCCCTGATTTCCGAGAAAGCACTTGAGATTCTACAGGGACCTCATGACGGCGGCAAAACATGCAACAAATATTCAGAGGGGACAAGGAGGAGTTTAAATGTCCAGGGTCATTACATTTGAGACTGATTTGTGGTATCATTATCAGTCATCATGATTGGCCCTGATTGGCTCAGAGAACTAACTGAATTGGCGACAATTCAAGTACAGCACTATATCCAAAGATACTATGAGGTTTTTAAGAAGGCACTGGGCACACTCAGGGGTTTTAAATTGAGGAAGCACATCGATCAAGAGGCCTACCGATACTTTTACAAGCCTAGTGTGCACTTTATACCATGAAAGGAACATTATAAAAAGAGTTGAAGCATTCGCACAGACTGAGTATGTGCCAGTTCATCTTTCCAAGAGGGTGGCATCCATTGTATTAGAAGAAAGAAAAAATGGATGTTAGACTAACATACACCACAATCACTTAGTGCAGATGAGGCCAACCATTGTGAGCCAGTCTGCTGGTTTTCCAGCCAACCGAATAATACCCTCACTGATTACTACTAACTACTTCAAGTAGAGGAGAAGAAGCCATCGGTAAATTCACCTGCTGAGGTAATCAGATTGTTGGGCCTCCATGGCTCATGGTTGGCCATTCTTGGATTATTATAAGTGTTAGTTCAAGTTGGGGTTAGATGGATAGCGAATGACCTTATCCTGGATTCAACCTTTGGAGAACCATAATGGTTGTACCTCCCTGTGACTGATGGTCTACAGATAATGGATAAAATACATAAAAAATAATGTAGATGCCCAATTGTATGTCTGGTGGCCAACATAGACAAAAAGGTAGCGAACAAATCTATCAAAGAATGGTTTCACCACGTCCTTACGTGCCAGTCCATAAAAAAAATTGCTTTCCTGAATTGTCCATGAAATTGTGGACGCTCGCTCATTCAGAGACAATTGATGGCCCCATCACAACAAAGTGTTTTCAGTCCATGCTCTGTCCGACACTGCAGTGACAGGCAATGGAACAACACTCACCTGTGACCTTCTATAGTGAGTTCATGAAACAGAATGGTATTATTTATGTGAGTACAGCTTATTGTTTTACCTTCCCCCTACTGGTTTAATAGCACA